GCCTGGTTGAGTCCGTACAGACTTTGCAGTAGTATGCAGACGACGTCATCAACTTGAGTCTCTGCCAGTGCCACTAGCTCCCGAAGACCTTCTGGCAACTCCATGTAGATCTCTTCTTCGAGTTTGCCATACAGGAACGCTGTATCCACGTCGCACTGCTCGATCTCGAATCCTTCAGCACAACACTTGGTCAGCACTGCTCGGATCGAGTTCAGGTAAGCCACAGGCGCGTACGTCTCTTCATAGTCAATGCACTGTCGTTGTGAATACCCCTTGGCTACGAGACGAGGCTTGTGTCGAATCACTTGTCCCTTCTCGTTGTGCTTCAACGCGAACACCCAGCGGCAGCCGATCGGGCGCTGGTGCGTTGGCCTTCGCACCAACTTCGAGGTACCGTTGTCTGTTAGCGACTTGAGTTCACTAGCAATCGCTTTCTTCCAGTTGTCTTGGTCCGCACTTGTAGTCGCCTCTGTGTACGTCTTCGGTACCTCCTCTGTGGCAGCCATCAGCTGTCCACTTTCAACAGTGTTACCACTTGGTCTCGGTCGCTCTTGAGTCATCTTCTGACGCTTTGTCCCAGTCGACAATGGAGCATCGATGACTTGCTTCTTTCTTGTGATTGCCTCTTCAGGATCCGTTGTCTCGTCAATGTGTCGAACACGCGAACGAGTAATCATAGGATGTGTCGAATCCTATGGCACCTTCGCAGTATCCAAGCTTACTTCACGTTGAAGTGGGATCACGTCAGCAACTTCAACTTGGGTGGGGACGACTTGCGAGGACTCACTCAACGACATTTGCTCCATGGTTGGCGCTAATGCGTCTGTGTCCTCGTCGGCATCAACATGAGTTATGATACGGGAAGGGTCGGCCGTCTCGATGAACTTCACAGTGCGTACGATTTGCACATTCCCTGTTGACATGTTGAGGACTCGGTATTCCTTCACACCATCTTCGTACCCCATGAACCGACACTTGAACGCCTTAGCATCCAGTTTACGACGCTTCTCGTCTGGCATGTGAGCGGAACCCATAGCCCCAAGCCCCTTGACGTTCTTGAGTTCTTGTATACAATCCTGTATGGTGTCTTCACCGTCACTGAGTTGGGAATCCGGTTGATGATCCATGCAGCAGTGTTGACAGCCTCAGCCCACCATTTCATGGTAGATCAGGCAACGTGCCATCTCCACGAGACTCCGGTTCATGCGCTCAGCCAGGCCATTCTGCTGTGGTGTATACGGCACCGTCTTCTCATGGTTGATGCAATGTTGGTTGAGGTACGCCTTGCACTGGTGACCCGTGTACTCTCCACCATTGTCGGAACCCAGACGCTTGATAGTCTTGCCCGTGGAGTTCTCCATTGCTGCTTTGTAAGTCTTGAACTTGGACAGCACTTCTGACGTCGTCTTCAGGAAGTATACGGTCACATGGCGCGAGTAATCGTCAATGAATGTGACGACATACTTACTGCCACCAGCTGTCTTTGTTTTGCATTGGACCCATGACGTCCGTATGCACCAAGTCAAGCACACCTGTACTCTTGACGAGCTCCTCCGGATATCTCGGAAAATCGTCAGCCTTCATCTTTCCCATGTAGCAGCCTGCGCACACGTCGTCCCCTTGGACTTCTCCCGCGATGCGTGGCACTCCATCTGCCATGGTCAGTAGTTTCTCATAGCGCTTGATCGGAATGTGACCATGTCGGGCGTGCACATCTGCCCATGGCTCCTTACGAGCGGTAGTTGCAGCATGACACACCTCGTCCCCCACTGTCTCCAACTTGAAGAAGTTTTCACAGTGCTTCGCCTCCATGACGGTAGCACCACCGAAGCGAAAAACACGCTCGTCCTTGCTGAACTGCGCGGTGACGTCCTTCTGGGCCAGCTTCGACACCGAGATGAACCTTCCTTCAACTTCCGGGATGTACAGAACATCCGACAGCGTGACAGACGTCCCGTACATCATCTTCATACCGACTGTGCCCTTCGCAACTGCGTCGATCTTCGTGCCATCCGCGATCGTGATGCGGACTGACGTCTTCACCTCCTTCATGGACACAAACTTGCCCCGGACGCTGGTCATGTGCGAACTTGCACCTGAGTCTATGAGCAATTCACTCTTCGTCATCGCATCCGTTGCCATGAAAGAGAAGTAGGACGCTTCCTCTCGCGCCGCTTGCCCTCGTTCCTCGTCGGCCTTCTTCGTACGGCACTCGAACTCTCGGTGTCCTAGCTTCTTTCAGTAGAAGCACTTGCCCTTGAAACGTAACTTGCCACCGAAGTCCTTCTTCTTCGTAGCGAAAGCCTTCTCTTGAGCCGATGACGATTCATCAGACGCTTGAACACCAGAGAATGCTTGGATTACGTAGGCCAACGTCACGTTGGGCGTGCTCTCGAGGACAGTACTGATCAACTTGTACTCGTCCGTTAAACTGCCAAGGAGCAACACGAGCTGGCGAGTCTCGTACAGAGACTCACTGATCGACTCCATGTGGAGGACGATCTCCTTGAACTGATCGAAATGCGAAGCGAACTTGGTACAGGGCTTCATCTTGAAGTTGTTCAATTTCTTGGTGACCAGAAGCCGGTTGTTGAGCGTCTTCTTGTTGAAGTGCTCTTCAAACGTCGCCCACGCCTCAGCGGCAGTTAATGCTCCACGGACGTAAACTTGGTACGTAAGACTGACGTCTCCAGGGATAGCACCAACTGCCCTCAGATCGCTGGTCTTCCATTCCGCACTCGATCGAACTCGGGCTTGATGATCTGCGGGAACAGACCCTTCCAAGCGAGCTTCATCCACACGTTGAACTCCCAGTGGAAGTAGTTATCTTCCACGAGCTTGTCAATGTTGTCGGCGTAGCTTGGGCTCATAACCAATTGAGAATAGCGAACGAAGCTTGGTTGTGTAGTGAGTGTTGAGAAGGAATGAAATCCGAAAGTGAGATTGATTTAGTTATCTGTTCTTGCTTC